ATCGATGTCCGAGGGCGAATACTTCTACTTTGGCCTGTACTCCCATGGCAATGCCTACGGTGTGACCAATCGAAGTCGAGAGCTTCCACAAGTAGTACGTTATCTGAACTCCTTTATGAAGTATCAGTGTGACTGCCAGGGGTTCAAGGATGCCACGTGGACCTCGATTGGCGTGGGAGTGAATGCAGGAAGTGATCCTCATCGTGATGTACACAACCAAGCTGGAGCGCCGAGCTACATCACAGGAGCTGGTCGATTCCGTGGCGGTGGACTTTGGATTGCTGAGGACTCCAAGACCAGTGGCGGCAAGGCTCAAACGAGATCCCTGCCAGATGGAAGTAGTAGACAAGGAAGTATGCTTCCGCTTCAGTACAAAGTGCAAGCGTTCAGTCCCAAAGATTGGCATGCTTCATGTTCGTGGACGGGCACGAGGTTCATCTTGACTGCCTACACCTCAAGAGGAGTTGACCAAGCGAGCAAGGCTGTCCTGGACGAGCTCAAGAACTTAAAGTTTGTGATTCCCAAGGCGCCTAAGGTCTACATGTTCGATGGTTCCATGAGGAAGTTGGACACCAGTGTGGCTGAGGTGTTTGCAGAGGTGGAAGAGGATGAGCCAGCACAGGGAGTAGATGTTGAAGACATACCGGCTGGAGCCGAGGCGGTGGAGCCCACGGAGGAGGAGAAGAGGCTGATCAAGAAGCTTCATGAAAATATGGGGCACCCCGCTCCTAGAGATATGGCTCGCTCCCTGAGGGTGGCGCATGCCAAGCCGCATGTGATCAGATATGTGGCCAAGGAGTTCCGCTGCTCTGTGTGTGAGTCAAGACCACGGCCAAAACCGGCTAGACCTGCTGTGTTGCCAAAAAGCTACGAGCCGGGCAGAGTCATTGGTGTGGACGTGGTTTTCCTAAGCTCCTTGGATAAAAGGGAGACCTTTCCGGCATTGAGCATGGTGGACTGGGGCACGGGCCACCAGATGGTCGAACGTCTGAAGAATATGGAATCAGATCATGCATGGCGGACCTTCCTTCGAGTGTGGGGCCGCGTGTTCGGCATTCCTGAGATACTGGTGGCGGACCTTGGAAATGAGTTCCGCGGGCAGTTTGTGGAGTTGGCTTCTCAAGCAGGGGCGCTTGTTAGACATACGGCTGCAAGCAGGCTGGCAAGACGGAACGTGCAGGTGCTCACTTCAAACACGTCTTCGAGAGAGCCAGGGATGTGGCACAAATCAGTTCATGGGAGGAGCTCAAGACCTTGCTTTATGAGGTCGAGGGGGCGCGCAACCGCTACGGTGACAGAAGCGGGTTCTCGCCTATGCAAAGGCAAATTGGGCACAGCCTCAGGCTGCCTGCATCGCTTCTTTCAGATGATCATCTTGATCCTGGACTTGTGGTGCAAAGCGCAGGCGATGAGATGAGAAGAACCCTAGAGATCCGCCAGGCGGCGCAGGAGGCCTACATGAAGTCCCAGACTGAGTTGGCCATTACCCGGGCAAAGAATGCTCGAGCTCGTCCTCACACTCAATATCTTCCAGGCGAGACGGTGTATGTTTATCGGCAGCCTCGTGAACGAAAGAGGAAGCATGTCATGACGGAGGAGTCTCATGAGGGACGAAAGCCAACCTGGGTGGGACCCGGGGTGATTCTGGCCGTGGAGCTCCCTAGCCTCTGGGTTTCCATGAAAGGTGAGTTATGGAAAGTGAGTGTTGGGCAGTGCAGACACGCAACTAGCGAGGAGCAGATGGCCAAGGAGTTGCTCCTGGGCGAGTTGGAAGCACTCCGAGAAGAGCTTGGACGAGACGCCCAAAAGCGTACCTATAAGGACATGACTGAGGAGCCGGGCCCGCTTGAGGATGAAGAGGGTGTGGATGCTCCTGAACGCGGACTTGAATGGGTACCTGGGGAACGTCCAAGTCAACGACAACAACCGAGCCTTGGAGATGGGGCAGAAGGAGAAGACATGAATGAGGTGCCAGTGGCTGCTAACACCAGCGAGGCGAGCTCCAACCTGCAGCCTACCATTGGAGAACCTGAGCCGTGGCCATCGCCAGAGCCGGTGATGCATCCCATGACGGCGAACGCCAATCCTTTGGAGACGGCTGAAGCGGTGATGCGAAATGAAAGGTTGGATGGTAACCTTGATAGAAGTGCTCCGTATGAGGCGGCAAGGAGAATTCATCGACTTCGACCTGAAGAGGAAAGTCGCCCCTATGTGACCGGTCGAGAAGAAGGTTTGTCGTCAAGTGCCTGGTTTTTCTTGGAGGATGGCAAATGGCAACCCGAGTGTGATGCATGGGAGGTAGTGGACAAGAACATGGTGATCCGATACCATAGTGAACCTCGCACCCTGCTCTGTAACCCAGCAAAGATCAAAGGAGCTTTGATGCCGCGTCGCCTGAAGCACCGGCAAACTTTCATGATCCTGGAGAGCGGCGAGGTCGAGACTCAGCACGACAACTGGTTCAAGAATAGACGACAAGTCAGACCTACAAGCAAGGCCTGGACAGGATTCACTGTTTTTAGTAGTCGTGTGGTGGATCCGGCGATTTTCGCTTCCTCCAAGCCGCGTGGCCAAGGTGAAATTTTTGAGCATGAAATCAAAAAGGAAGAGTGGGGCGCTTGGAAGGAGACGGACCGGGCCGAGTGGGATAAGGTCACCATGACGGACGCAGTGAGGGTGCTCTCTTTGCAGGAGAGCAGGGAGGTTCGCGCTGATCTAGAAAGCCGGAACCAGCTTGACAGAATTTTGCCAAGCCGAATGGTTCGGCGCTGGAAACCCTCCAAGCAACCGGGGTCACCGCCTACTCGCAAGTCGAGGTGGTGTATCAGAGGGGATCGTGACCCAGACCTTCTTTCACTTCAAAGATACGCACCGACCCTCAACACCACAAGCTTTGGAGTCTTACTCCAAGTGGCGGCCTCCATGCGCTACAGGGCCTCCGTGGGGGACTTGAAAAACGCGTTCTGTCAAAGCTCTCTGCTGAAGAGGGACAACGGCAAGTTGTATGCTAGTCAACCGAAGGCTGGCATTGAGGGCTTGCATCCCGAGCAAATCGTGGAGATAGTGGCGGGCTGTTACGGACTCGGTGATGCGCCAGCGCATTGGCGGCGCACCCTCAAGGAGGCGATCATCGGCCTCGGCTATAAAGAGAGCGTCCTGGACCCGACCGTGTACATGCTGCATTCCCAAGGGAAGCTTCATGGAGCCATTGCCGTAGAGATAGACGATTTGTTTTCTTTCGGCAGCGAGCTGCACTACAAGCAAATGGATCTTTTGAGGAAGAGGTTCGTCTTTGGGAAGTTCGAGATGGTGGATGAGTCTCCTTGCGGTGTGGGCTTTAACGGTCGTCGTGTACGACAGCTGCCTGACAGGAGCTTTTCCATTGACATGGAGAAGTTCATTGGCGAAAGGCTGGACCCTGTCTCTTTGGCGAAGGGAAGAAAAACAGATCCCAAAGCGCTGGCGAACGACAGCGAGACAGCACAGCTCAGGGCAGTGATTGGTGCACTGGCGTGGGCGGCCAAGGAGGGGAGACCCGACGCCGCTGCTGCAACGTCCTTGGGAGCAGGAAGTTTCCCGAAGCCCACCATCCAGGACATCATCGATATCAATAAGACCGTGCATGTGATCAAGTCCAACCCAGCTTTGAGTATCAAGGTGAGAGCCATTCCCTTGGAGAATCTGGCCTGGGGTGTCGTTTCAGACGCCAGCTTCGCCAACGCCTACGGGGGCAACAGTCAGGGGGCCTATGGAATCATAGCCTTTCATGAAGATTTTACAGCGTGGGACTCGAGTACCTTGCTCGCTGATCTCCTGGAAGAGTGGGAGAATCCACAAGGTTGTGAATTCCACGTTGGCGGCGGAGACTCAGAGTTTGTCGAAAGGACTTGGGGAACTCTGCTGGGTGGTGTCGATCTTCAAGGAGCTCACTCGAACGAAGTTTGATCTTGCTCAGTGGGAGGAGGAGCTCCAGCAGAACAAGATGCTTGCGATCACGAAAGACGAGTCTAGCTCCGAGCTCAAGGAGTGTTTGGCCATCGTCGACGCTAAAGCTTTGTTCGATCACCTTTCAAGGGAGAGCGTGGGACCTTCGCAAGACAAGCGGACCTCCTTGGAAATCCAAGTGGTGCGACAGCTGATGAACTCCATTAAGGGCAAGGTGCGCTGGGTTCCGCATCCGCAGATGATCGTGGATGGCTTGACAAAAAGAAATGGCAACCTCGAGGCGCTTTATCAGCTTCTACTGACCGGAGAATACCAAATAGTAGCTGAAGCCGAGAGCTTGGAAACCAAGCGTCTTGAGCGAGAAAGTCTTGGGTACAACCGTAGATAGTCTTCCAAGGACGAAGTTTGGGGAGCTGTGAAATCCCTAGCTTGTTAGCACTCCTTGGAAGTGAGTTGTGCCACCAGCTGTAACATGCTGTGTGTGTGCTCAAACCGAAGGGGCCCCTTGATGCCGTGCGCTACGCTGTATGGATGGACAGGAAAAGCACAGAGCGAGCTTGCTGGAATTTTGTGTGAGCTTTGGGATCACCTGTGCATCCACATCCCGCATGTGTCAAAAAAATCCCGAAACGCCAGACACTTCATGGCGCTTCATGGTGCTTGCTGGAGATGTGAGAGGTCAGAGATGCGCGGTGTCTGTACTGACAAGACTCGATTCTCAAAGAGGCTGTGCTATTCTTTGAGTCCGGCCATGTACTGCTGGCATTTACACCGGAGATCCCGCCCGATGTAGAGGGATTAGTCCTTAGGCCTTGCCAGGGTCCGAGGTTTTACCAGGGCTTCATGCCGGGCCAGTGTTGTAACCATGGAAGGGGGGCTCGATTGGAACCAAAACGACAAGCAAAGACAGCAAATCTGCATGGTAGTCGGTTGCCAGAAAATGACCAAAGAGAACTGCTTAGCCTTGCAAGCCATTCAAAACCAAAGACCTTGAAACCCGCAAAATCGCGGTGAAGAGAGCTTCCCACAACTGCAGCATACTGCAGCTGCGTGGCCTGGCCCTCTTCCGCTGGTTGTTGCACTTCCCGCTGCTGCGCTTGCTGCGGTACTGGTTGTGCGGAGGGTTGGAAGCCCTGGCAACAGCTTCCAGTCTGCAACCACCGACCAAAAACTTGAGCGCATGCTTGTCCTAAGGTCCTGGCCTGTTTGCCCATCTGCACTGTGTTGGTGTCAGTGTTGATGACCACCTAAAGGATGAAATGAACGTGTTGCGGCCGGGCAGGAGTGAAAGGAGTCTACTTGATCATCTTTGCCCAGAAGCTTGCTCCCCGAGAAATCTACACAATCTGAAGACAAACCTGACCTAAAAGTACCGCACCTGTGTGCCCTGCGTGCTGCCACTGCTGCGAGTGCTGCGAGGAGAGGAAACTGAGGCCACTCGGACCTCACACGTCCCAGGCGAAACCCAAAACTCAAAGTGCTGCGTGTCTCTTGAGTCGCTGCAGGCATCGTGGTGGTCACGGGTGCAGCCACGGCCGCCGGCGCCAGCGCCGCTGACGTCAAAGGCGAGGTAGCAGCAGGCTTTTGTGAGGGCGAAGGCATTGGCATCTCATTGAATGGCACACTCAAACCTGTTGCAAGTCAGTAACCACCAACCTGAGCTATTGGCTTTAGTCTCGAGCTTCGACCTGAGGCTGCTAGCCTCCACCTGGCTCGACCAGAACATACGCTGAAACAATCGTTCTTTGATCCCACCGTACCTCTTTGAGCCTGTCTGAGAGGCCGTCAACTCTGGCGTTGAGGTGCCGAATCATGGCCTCAGCCAAACAGCTGCAGCGAGAACATAGGCTGGCGGGACATCTTCGCTGTTATGCCTCAGCAGCACTTGGCACCTGCACCGGTGCGGGGGTATCCTGGCATTGGCACTTTGACTATCTGCAAAGGCGCTGCTGACCGCTTTCAGTCCTCTTTCTCGCTCAGCTTCTTAACAAGATCATCCACCTTGTCGTTGATCTCACGCATCTGCACCTAAAGCACATCCATGCATCGTACGGGCAGCCAATGATACCGTCCGCCATCAGCATGCTCCTGCCTCACCCTCCACTGGCTTCTGGCGCTCAGGATGCAAGGCCTGTGAAAGGCGAAGGCATGAGGTGGTGCCGACCTCATGACCACCGCTCTTGCCCACCAGCCTCCTTAAGCCTGTTCGCAATCTCGTCAACCTTGACATCCAGGTGACGAAGTTTTGCCTGAACCAAGCCCAACTGCAACAAGACCTGTGAGCTACAATTATCTACAATTTACAGCGACTCTCTGCCCCCTTACAACTGGCTAAAACATCCTGGAAATCAACGGGCTGTGTTGCCCAAAAATGCTCGAAGAACTTGGTACACATGTTGCTTCCGGACACGTTGTCAGCAACTCTGGATTGACGTTAGTCTCGAGAGGGCCCTCTAAGTGACACCGTGGGCTCTTTGCGTGTTCGAAGCTTGGGCCTAATCCCATTGTGTACATGCTGCACATTTCCTACGTCTGTGTCTTTCACGGAGGCATGCATAGATTTTGGAACACACAGCATTCTTCTGCGACATGGAACGTAATCGTCTAAGAGAATTCTTGAACTTGCCTCAGCAGCACTTGGCACCTGCACCGGTGCAGAGGTATCCTGGCATTGGCACTTTGACTATCTGCAAAGGCGCTGCTGGCCGCTTTCAGTCCTCTTTCTCGCTCAGCTTCTTGACAAGATCATCCACCTTGTCGTTGATCTCACGCATCTGCGCCTAAAGCACATCCATGCATCGTACAGGGGACGAAGGGCGAGTCGGTTACACGTGTCGGGAGCAACGGAAGGGTGTGTTGGGAACAGCCGGAGGGCGTGTCGAGTTGGGAACGGGGCAGGTGCGTGTTGAACACGGGGGGAGGGGGGGGGGGCTGAGTCAGGAACGGAGAGGGGGTGATGGCAGGGGTGTGTTAATCATTAAGAGCGTGTGAGGTTCAGGGTTACTTGTGTCTTGGACTGTAGACCCAACTTCACAATCCAAGTCTAAGTTCTTTTTCTGGGACGTAGACTTGGGTATACAGTGTCGTCTTGTAGATGGGCTTTTTGTTGGATGAGTATGTACGGGGTCTGTAGCGCGAGCGCAATCCATTCTCCAGCATTTTTGAACTAACGCAAGCATGTACGCTGGAAATGGGTTTGCGTAGTCCGCGCCCCGTCGTTCCGGTTCCATGGCTCCAGCCACGCGCCATGTCTTTTTCTTCTCTCTCGATCGCCCGCTCGCACGCTTGCGTGTTTGAGAACGCCTCTCGTGATGACCCCGTGACGTGCCCCAACGCCGCCCCTGTTCTTTCGGCGCGACCACACACGTCTATGCGCGGATTTGGGAAATTTTAACATATGTCTCTACCTGGCTTTGCCTCTGTCACTCCATTCATCTTATCGCATTCATCTTATCGCAGGGTGCAAAGAGGAGTGGTTTTAACATAAGTCTCTACCTGGCTTTCCCTCTGTCTCCATTTATCTTATGGCAGGGTGAAAAAAACTGTGACTTTAACACATGTCCCTACCTGGCTTTGCCTTTGTCACTCCATTCATCTTATGGCAAGGTGGAAAGGGGGGTGGTTTTAACGTATGTCTCTACCTGGCTTTCCCTCAGTCACTCCATTCATCTTATGGCAAGGTGAAAAAGGGGGTGGTTTTGACATATGTCTCTACCTGGCTTTCCCTCTGTCACTCCATTCATCTTATCGCAAGGTGAAGAGGGGGGGGTGATTTTAACATATGTCTCTACCTGGCTTTGCCTTTGTCAGTCATCTTCTGGCAAGGTGAGAAGGGGGCGGTTTTAACATATGTCTCCACCTGGCTTTGCCTTTGTCATTCATCTTATGGCAAAGTGAGAAGGGGAGGGGTGTTTTAACATATGTCTCTACCTGGCCTTGCCCTTGTCACTCCACTGATTTTTGCGCAAGGTGAAAAAGGGAGTGTTATGGCAAGGTGAAAAGGAGGGTGGTTTTAACGTATGTCTCTACGTGGCTTTCCCTCTGTCACTCCATTCATCTTATGGCAAAGTGAGCAGGGGGGTGGTTTTAACGTATGTCTCTACCCGGCTTTCACTCTGTCTCCATCTATCTTATCGCAAGGTGAAAAAGGGGGTGGTTTTGACATATGTCTCTACCTGATTTCCCTCTGTCACTCCATTCATCTTACGGCAAGGTGAGAAGCGGGGAACAAGAATATTCACCTAAGTTGTATAAAGCACCGGCTCGCATGTTCCCGACATGCGCTGCTAACACAAGTATGTGTACTGTTCCCGACTCGCTCTACGGGCAGCCAATGATACCATCCGCCATCAGCATGCTCCTGCCTCACCCCCCACTGGCTTCTGGCGCTCAGGATGCAAGGCCTGTGAAAGGCGAAGGCATGAGGTGGTGCCGACCTCGTGACCACCGCTCTTGCCCACCAGCCTCCTTAAGCCTGTTCGCAATCTCGTCAACCTTGACATCCAGGTGACGAAGTTTTGCCTGAACCAAGCCCAACTGCAACAAGACCTGTGAGCTACAATTATCTACAATTTACAGCGACTCTCTGCCCCCTTACAACTGGCTAAAACATCCTGGAAATCAACGGGCTGTGTTGCCCTAAAATGCTCGAAGAACTTGGTACACACGTTGCTTCCGGACACGTTGTCAGCAACTCTGGATTGACGTTAGTCTCGAGAGGGCCCTCCAAGTGACGTTCACGCAGAACTTTCTTCGCAAGGCTGTCAATGCCTTCCATGCCGGATTCCATGCAATAACAATCAGCCTGGAGGAAACTTAGCTTTTGCAACTCTCGCCACATCTGGCCATGCTCAATGCAGTGAAAATTCGAGATGGTTCAGATTTTGTTGACACCCTCCGCACTCAAGGCACACAGAAGTTCTGGGCACATTCCTGTTGTGTTTTGGCCAGATATCAGTAATTTAGAGACATCAACTGGCGAGAGATGGCATCACATCTAGGATTATGCGAAGCTGACGTGACAAATGCAAAAGCCTCTTTGAGGCTGGGCCGGCTGGGTGTCAGGCAGTCGGCGTTGGCAACACCGTTCCGCGGTCCGGAGCAGGACCTGGGGCCTGGGCCGATTTCCGTGTCGCTATGTGTCGAATTCAATGTGTCGCTTGCATAGAGCTTGACTTTGACTGCCAAGGTAGAGCCCTTGCCTGGAATCCTGTGCCACTTTGGCTCTTGTCCAGTACGGCAGACTAAGCATCGTGCAGGCTGCTGCAGCTGCTGCGGCAGCTGTGCTTTCGACGGAACATTGTCAGCGCTTGCTGCGCTTGCTCTCGCTGCAGCTGCATCAGCAGAATTTTGACGCGCAGGCCAGGACGAGGAAGACGAGGGCACCGGTGAAGGCGAAGGTGACTGGACAGCTCACAGCTAGATTGCAAGATATCCGTGTTCCTATCTGGACGTACACCACACTGAACATCATTTGCCGAACCTTGCCATGCAGCGCCTCACAATGCCACCGACCAGATGGAGCACGCTAGCATGTGAAAGAACCCGGATCAAGCATCTGCCTCATGGATCTCTTGAGCGGTGACATCAGAGAGGCCCGGGAACGAGCGGAGGTAGTCCTGACAAGAAGCTCATATGCTGGTGGGAAGCAAGATTCTTCTTCTGAGCTTCCTTCTGAGCCTTCGCATCGGCAACTCTTGCGAGTGTGGAGACCTGGCTGTGTAAATGCATGACATCACGCATGCTTCATGATGAAGCTCTTCATCAAGCGCCTCCAATGGTGGGATAGGTGGATAGCTCACCGTTGGAAGTGCAACGCTGGGATGCCAGTGAAGCCTTGACCTAGCGGCTAGCAGCGGCAAGAATTTGAAGAAGCTTATCTGGCATCAGGTCTCAGGTACGCAACGAAGGCTTGCAGGGGTGACCGTCCAAGGTCAACTCAGCTGACATCAAGAGAAGCTGTAGAGCAACAAGCAGGACGAGCAAGCAGAGCAAGCAAGGTTCCTGCCCAGCCCTCCAGTGGATCATGGCGGTCGATGGACAACAGCGAGACTGCCTATACTGAATTGAGCGCATTGTTTGACCTACTTCGCAAAAAAAGCTTCAAAATCATGCTGGCAGGACATGCGCCGAAGACTTCAAAAAAACCTGCAAAGGGGTGCACTAGAACATGCGCTGCACGTGGACCCTGCCACCTTACGAAACTGGCAGCCATCTTCAGCCACTTCAAGTTGTAGTGGTGAAGTGCCTGTGGACGCCTGCAAGGCTCCAAGCCCTCCCCTGTGCTTCGCGTCATTTCGGGTCTCTTCAGCTCGCAGCCGCAGCTGAAGTAGGAAAGTTCATGAACTCTGAGGCCTGGATGAGGAGCGCCAGGAACTTCAACATCTTCCCCCGGGGGGCGTCTGCGGCTCTGCCTACATTCTGCGGGTCACCTCAAAGGCAGACCGCTGGTACACCACAGCACCTCCCTCAAACTCATAGGCTCCGGCAGCTGGTGGCAATGGAAGCCACACGCTTGAGCCGGGAAAAAATCAAGAGTGAATGCAAGAAGCTGACCTTTCGGGCCTATGGCTGTCAAAGCTTGTTGACAGCTGGTGCCACGAAGCTCT